GAATTTTAAATTAATTGTTATTATTCTCCATACAAAATGTACAAGTTATGCTTTATTAAATGCAAAGTTATGCGAAAATCTAAATATCTCGCAAACGTAGGGTTAATGGTTTCGCGCACGTGCCAATCTCAGAGAACGTATATTTATAGAGAAGGTCCAAGAACTGTGAATGCCACATTTTTCGAGCCAACAAAACTGGCGAAGCGCATTTTAAGAGCGACAAATATTTGGAATACTTAACAGCGAAAGCAAAATACAAAGCAGAAAAGAAGAACTTTAACAGAGCTAAATCTCACGAGAGCATTTGGAATGTTAATTAAACATGAATATTGAAGATTTTTGTGATATTTTGGGAAAATTTTCAAATAGAAAACCCAAGTAAAAGAAATTAAATTTTTGTTCAATGATTTGTACAAGTAACATGAAATTAAATCGAAAATAGTATATAACATTCCCGATTTTTGTGATATTTTATTAATAATTGCAAATTGGGAAATCAAGTTCGAAAGTTTTTTTTGCGAGACTCTCTACATTTGGGCAAACGAAATTGTAAAATATTTACTTTCGGTGTACGCATGATATTCTGGGCTTTTGTATAACATAGAAAATCCAAAGATAACCCAAGTCAACCCAATAACTCAAAACTGATAAATTTGCACATTCATGCTTCTGGCATGAGGGTTACGATATGTGAATTAAAAACTTTAAAGGCGTGTTTCTCGATTTTTCGCTTTTTTGAGTTATGACAGTATTGATGTAAATGAGCTTTATGTTCATTTTCATAACATTCATATTGGATATTGAAGTTAATATTCGAACGTTCGCCACAATATTTATTGGGTAATTAAAAAAAAAATTTACTTAAAAAAGTTCTTAGCTCGTCGATATTTTTCGGCATTCGCGATATTTACTCAGTACTTGTGAAAAAGTATCGAGTTCTCGATACTACTCAGTACTCATGAAAAGTATCGATATTCTGTACTCGTTACTCGTATCGTTCTATCACTAGATGTTGCCAAAATGTTGATTCAGCTTGTGCCTTACAACTACTATGTAATATATGTAAATCAATTAATATGCTCTTAGTGCGCCTCGATACACTATTATTTTCAGACCGTCTGAAACAGATTTCTAAGTGCTCATTTACACACGGCGATTTTTGTTGCCGCAACTCGACGTTTGTAGCAGAGATCGTGACGAGGAAAGGAGAGGGGCACTGAGTTGCTCGTGCTCGGGCAACACGCTTTGTGCTCTCGTTCGTCTGTGTAAATTGAACCGCTGTTCACAGCTGACAACAATTGCATACACACAAATCGCCGTGTGTAAATGAAACGAGCAACACCAAAAGGGAATGTGAAAAATCGCGTCGACAAAAGTTTCCGTGTATAAACACAGTCTAATGGACGAGAAGGGAAAGAGAGTAGTAGTTTACCTCAGCAATTTCAGACGCGGTATGATTTCGGTCTGAAACACACTCATAGAAAAATCTCTTAACATTCACATTTTTCACATTTAATACGATTACATTTGCACCTTTCCAACAACCTTAAGAAGGAAGAAAAAGAGAAAAGAGAGAAAAAGAGTCAAATCAGCTCCTAGCAGCAAATAAGGTTTTTATTTACTTAGGCCCACTTGCAGAACATCCAGAGTTAAATATATAAATAGAGAGTTAGGTAGCTCAGAGTAAAATTTTTATATTCAGAAACCAGATAATGTCTTGCAGCATTTCAAACTGCCCTTAATTAAGTAACTCGCGAGATTTCTAAATTACTCACCACTCTCTCTTTTTTGACGTTTGTTAACATTTGAATTTGAAATAGGTACAAAATGCAAATTGGCCAGCGACAGTTCTGAGAGTTCTCTTGATTGGATGGACCACTAACACGTTGGTGCATTTTAATGGCATATATTTTTTACGCGAGACTGGCCGAAACTTTAGAGCTGAAGGCGGAAAAACAATGATGTATATATGTACTATATTTTAAGGGTCCGCCAAAAACCCCATAAAATGTAATGGGGGGACCAATAAAAAATCCTTAGGATAAAAAAATGGTTAAATAAAGAATTGAGTATTATTGTTGGAAGTCTCCTGAAGAGAACCAGATTTTTCCGATCTAAAAAAATTTAAATTTTCAAAAATTCTATACCGTTTCTACGAAAATAAAATACATGGAAAACGTTGAGCGCTTAGAGAAACCACTTAATATCTTTTGATTTTAAAATAAAAAATTCTTCTTTTCGGTATAGAAAAATCTTCCCATGTGTTTGTGTTTTTTTGTGAAAATATTTTTTGATACAAAAATCCTTTTCCCGGTGATTTCCACAAATATCGTGAAAATAAATCGAAAATTTTATATAGCATTTTTCGATTTTTGTAATTTTTTGTTAGATTTTCAATTATAAAACTTTAT